GGATGATGCCTTTCGTAGTTCTCCATGTTTCCACTGCATACAAGTAGAACTGTCTTGTCATTTGTATTGAAAATCCTGATTTTGGTTTTGGTTGAAAGTTGTTTGGAGTTCCAGATATTTTTCAACTGTAGAAATGCAGCCCTTGCCTCGTCAATCCGCGCCCTCACATCTGCATTGGATCCACCTTGATTGTCGATGATACTGCCCAGATATGTAAAGGTGTTAATGTCCTCCAAGGCATCTCCATCAAGATCGATTTGGTTGGTGCATGTAGTGTCATATCGTAGAATCTTGCCTTTCCCTTTATGAATGTTGAGACCTGCTGCTGCAGAGGCTACTGCTTCACTATTTTCTTCTGATTGTTTTTTCTCCACTGATGTGGAATAAATCATTTAACTGTCTTAATTTCATGAATAAAGTCATTAGTCACAAAATGTTCATTTCACTTTTGCATAATGAATGACAAGTTATTAACATTCCATCTCTGTAGTTTTCTGAATATGGTTTAAAATCATAGTTCAAGACCACGACATATATATTCAAAATAACCAGAACAGATATAGATTAGAGAATTTACAATCGACTATTTGTTAGCAACTAAACATTTTCTAACAGAAGTATGACAATAATTTGATATATTCACTATTGACTGCTGCACTTTTATTTTATTAGTCAGTCAGTCAGTCAGTTAATCAGTTACAACTTAGAACTTTGTACGTGCAAGTACATCAGTTCACGTTGATATAAGCACATTAGCACAGATACGCAATTCAAATCCCATAGTGGTATAGATAGAAGAAGCATTACTGCTCATGGAGAAGATTAGGATTTGAAGATAATAATTCAAGAAGTATAATTCAGTGAGATAATTTTAGAAAGACAAAGGTAGAGATGTTGACAAATCCAAAAGATTAGGATTTGAGAGAACACAAAAAGTGGATGCACTTGTGCCACCATTACAAACAATTTTGAGCCATGTCGCTCAAGGTATCTAACCGTCGGTGACTTTTGTAAAACAATGAATGACATGAATTGCACCAACCAAATCGATCTTGATGGAGATGCCTTGGAGGACATTAACACCTTTACATATCTGGGCAGTATCATCGACAATCAAGGTGGATCCGATGCAGATGTGAGGGCGCGGATCGGCAAAGCAAGGGCTACATTTCTATGATTGAAAAATATCTAGAACTCCAAACAACTTTCAACCAAAACCAAAATCAGGATTTTCAATACAAATGACAAGACAGTTCTACTTGTATGCAGTGGAAACATGGAGAACTACGAAAGGCATCATCCAGAAGATACAAGTGTTTATGAACAGTTGTCTACGCAAAATACTTCGGATTCGTTGGCCAGACACCATCAGCAACAACGTACTGTGGGAGGAAAAAAACCAGATTCCAGTGGAGGAGGAAATCAGGAAGAATCGGTGAAAGTGGATAGGACACACACTGCGAAAAGCACTGAACTGCATCACAAGACAAGCCCTCACATGGAACCCTCAGGGTGAAAGGAAAAGAGGAAGACCAAAGAACACACTACGCCGAGAAATAGAGAATGATATGAGAGGAATGAACAAACATTGGACAGAACTGGAGAATTAATACCAGGACAGAGTTGATTGGAGAAAACTGATCCGCGGCCTATGCTCCATTGCGGGTAACAGACGTAAGTAAGTATGTAAGTAAGAATGACATGAATCGTAGTTGTCATAAACATTTTGTCCATTCAGTCAGAAAACAGCCAGGACACGAGAGAGAGAGAGAGAGAGAGAGAGAGAGTAAGAGAGAGCGTAAAAACTAACTATCAGCAATTACTGTTTTCTGATTAGCATCCTTTTTTAGCCAGTTTTAGTTTGCTACGCGATAGAGTCTCTTACCCTAAACCCAACCCTCCTCCTTTATCCGAGCTTGGGACCGTCAGTAGCCCTACATCGGCTTCGGTGTTAGGGAGTTTAACTACTAACAAATATGCAAATGTATATATATATATATATATATATATATATATATATATATATACATATGTAGTATATATTTTAAATGTTCAATGTTTTCATATTTCCGCTTATCACAACCAATGTTTATTGATCCGTTTAAACACACACTTTTAATCAAGTATAAAAATTCTTTTTACTTGTATTCACATAGATTATCTGTCAAATTCATGACAAAATAATAATAATTCATCTTAACAAACAAAATTTCGTTTTTATTCTTCTTTCATTTTCTTTCAAATACTTAAAACAAACAAAAATAGTTTTAAAAAAGAATGTTTTCTTTTGTTCAATAACATTTCATTCAAACATTACTTACTGTGTGTTTTGTTTTGTTTTGATACAGAATTCTTGTCATTTTTTTTGAATCATTTTGTTGTGGTGCGCGCTACGTATAAGTAGTAGTATAATGACGCGAGTGAAAACATAATGTCTGGCACCAGAAGATGGGGGAAGATCACAAGAAAGGAAGGAAGAGTTGGAACACAATGGAATTTGTATGAAACGCATGAATAAGTGAAATGTCAGACAATGGATTGATGATCGATTGAAGATTTGCAAATTAACGATTTACGATATGGTTTTTCTATTTTACTGAGTAACTCCGTAATTTTCGTTGAATACAATTCAGTTGCCCTCACCTATGTTCTCCTTCACTACAATTTGATATCATAATACTTATTTGGATATAAAAAAAATGATGGGTAGAAGGCGTAATTGGAAGTTTCGAGGAAGCTGCTATGAAGTCGAACAAAGTTGCTGACGAGAGGACAACTTAAGACGTCCTGGTTTCCCGAAAGAATTGAACAGCACCACTTTATAAATTCAGAATTCTGTATTTGGTTTTGGTAGGAGATTCGGTTGTGTAGGTGTCAATGCTTAAATGCCTACTTCAGCGTACACAACCTACAGTAGATGACGAGTCGAATGACCAACTATTAACCGCACAGTTCCTCAACAGTGCTCCAGTGGTTATAGCCTAACAGTTACAGTTGTTGAACGTAGTACAACTGACTTGATTACAGTCACTAGACAGTTGATGAGTTTGACAGCATTTTCGTTAATATCGAAAATTCTATTATTTATGAAACGTTTCTCATATAAAACAGTCATCAAAAGTTAAGCACAGCATTCAAAGATTTTTAAATCAATCGTTTAGCGGTAAATACATGTACATACCATAATGAGACATAAGAATGTAACACTTAACAATCTTACATAAAATATTTCAAAATTCAGAATGTATATTAATGTTTAATGAGCAAATACACTCTATTTTAGCTACCTCATTTATTAATTGAATAATTAAAGTAAATATTACTTTATATAATTCTAGAAATTTATATCTTTAAAATGCTGACCTTGTATTTCTCAATGATTCAGTGCGTTATTTGATTAAGGTGTTTTGTTTTACTGTCAGTCAAATCATATCTGTTAAACAGTTCAAACTACTTTTTCCGGTTTATCAAAACAACATCGTTGAACCCTAATCTCTCCGATTACTGCTAATACTTCTACCAACTTTACTATTATGGGATTTGAATTGACAATTGCATCTCTGTGTTAATGTGGTATGGCAACATGAACTGATATATGTCCGGACGTACGTACTACTACTGTTTATTGTAAGTCAAAATACTCCTCGTAAGATGATAACTTCTAGATTAGAACTGTAGTAACGATAGTAGTGTTGATAACATTTTAGTTCTATGAAGAACTCTAACCCTAACCATTAGACATGAGCATGTGTTTATTATGACATGTCTTAACGGGAAATTACTTTCGAAGTGATCATGACTTGGAGAAATTAAATTTGAACATAAACCTTATTTTGTTTAAATGTTTTTTCACTTGAAAATGACATGATTCACCTGATAAACTTTTATTTTATTATATCTTAATTAAAAATTAAAACTTGAATAATCTAATTTTAACTGTGAATTCAGTGCAAAATATTCAATACCACATAGTCAATGTTTTACACAAGCTTGTGTTATATGCACAGTAATGTTTAAGCATGATATGTGCATATCATTTTTATTGTCTAGTAAAACAACTTACAGAAACCAACTCCTACACTAATTTTTTGTTCCATAAAAGATGTTAATTGTGTTTGTTTCAATCTGGCCTAGAAATGCCAGGAAACTTGAGTTGTGTATACTTGTAGGTATTGTATTTTCTGGGTGCTTGTGGAGGGAGACATTCTCTCTGCATCTTGTAATAGCTGTAAGCATATCATATAACAAGTTAACTGTTTGTGAATCCATTCAAATGATTGGTCTAGTGTTTTCTAGTTATGAAACAATCACTCCCTTTGTTTACTCTACTATATTATCATGATAAGCATGACAGTTTACAAGTTATAACAATGCTTTTGAAATCGATAATTATATTTAGCTAGCTACCTTGGTATAATTTATTGTGTTAGAATTTGTATCTATAATCTACATCCATATAAATAGTTTAACTGTCAAGTTAAACTATTTCACTAATGAACTAAACAGAAATCCCTACTAAATAGCAACTAGGTTATTGGTATGAGGAATGGGTTTCATTCAAATTCCGCTTATCAAGACATTTTGACTGTTTTATACATTAACGTTATGTGAAAATACTACTCATAATTCAATTTCGTATAAATCGCTTCTGTTTTATTACTTATGAATACACCTTGTGTTGTTTGGTTTAAAAATAGTTAAACTATACGCCAGTTCAATGATGAATTTATTTTCACTGACTTAAATACATTAGAGACTACTGTTTGATTGGATGATTTCTTCTACTGACAACTAAGCTTAATGTTTCACATCTTATAAGGATAAATTCTAATACCTAAGTCAAATGTTAGAAACTGTATTAAGTGATATTCTTGATAGGTTAAGGAGATTTTAGGTTCTGTGGTTAATTAGGTTATGTCATAACTTTATTGAAAACAGTAAAAGTTATGTTCTAGCTATGGTGATTCTCATGATCAATATTGCAAGCCAAAACTTAAATTACGCTTTCATAAGTAAAGTATCAAATAACATTTGAAAATGTATACATAAAATTACACTAAATTACATCGGACGTACATTAGGTATATAAACATAATAACTATTTATGAGTAATAAACATTTATAAAGTAAAGTATTGTTTCCCTGGGTTGTGGAATTTTGTCTCCGCATTAATTGTTTTTAGAAGTGTAGAAATTCGCTGCAGTTCGTGTCAATCAAATCTTATTCAGAAACGTAATATTATACAATTGTATAAGCAATAACTGAAATAAACTACTTTTAGTTACTGTTATCTACTAGTTTCCTGAATTATACAAATATCACAGTATTTCCATGTAATTAAACACATTTCTGATGTATAATTTCCGAACCGAATTCTTGATATTCTTCTCGGGTAACCCACATTTCATTGAAAGTACTTAAGGAAGCTAGTACAGCACCACCTATCCAGACTGAATATTTTCGTTCAGGAGATGCCATCACTTTTACTGTGGCACCTTTCGGGGCTAAACGATGCAATTCTTTATGCAGTCGTTCAGGGAAACCACGAAACATTGTACATCCACCAGTGAGAATGATATTTGACCAGAAGCTTTTTCTAACATCCATACCACAAGCTAGTATAGTTTCATTTGTAGCAGTGTGAATACCATTCATTTCGTAACCAGCCAACTTTGGATCAAACATTAATTCAGGTGCACGAAATCTTTCATTACCGATATTTAACAACTGACCATCAGGTAAGCGATATGTCATTTCATATGACTTTTTGTCTTCTTGACTGAATTGTAATTCTTTTCTGTAATCCATAGCAACATAACAAACATTTTCTTTGACATCACGAGCAATTTCATGTTCACATGTTGTAATCAATTTATAACCTCTTTCAGTAAGTAAATGTTTCAGATAGTTGGTTATAGCACGTCCTGCTAAATTTCTTCGATGTATCGCTGTTGGAATAACATATGCATCAAATACAGGAACCAAATGTGTAACGCCTTCTCCGCAGTCTAACACTAAACCAGTTGTACGACCTGAAGCATAAAGTGAGAGAACAGCTTGAATTGAAATGTAAATAGCCGGTGCATGAAATTGTTCAAACATAATTTCTGCCATTTTTTCACGATTTGCTTTCGGATTCAATGGTGTTTCAGTCAAAAGCATAGGATGATTTTCCGGAAGAATACGTAGTTCATTCGTGAAAACATGTTGCCAGATAGTTTCTAAATCATCCCAATTTTGTACGACACCATTCATTATTGGGTAGGATAAAGTTAATGCGCCTCGTTTACCATCTGCTATATCACCGACAAAACATTCATCGGAATTCCGATCAACAAGCAGTTTCATGTGTTTAGGTCGACCAAGGATCATAGGAACAACTGCACGTGGTTCCATTTCACCAGAATAGCCAACTTTCAACAATCCTGTTCCATTGTCAATAACAATTGGAGGATTATCTGGACCAAATCTAAGTACCATAATTTTTTTTAATCAATATTACATATATCCAAGTTATTGAATGATCAATCTTTAATGTACAGAATGAATTGTTCTTAAATTATTTTACAATGGAATAGAATATTCTATTTATAAATTAATTTTGATTATAACGCTTAGATATGGTTGGTTACAGTGATTAGTTTCACAGTAGTTACCTATTTATTTGTCGCTGAAAGTTTAATTCATGCATGTGTGTGTGTGTGTGTGTTTGTGATCACGTCTAACTGTATATACGTGCACAAACGTATCAATGCATTTGTATACTACGAAAAACGATTGATGTGTGTCGTTTAACCATAAATCAGTGAGTAAATACCTAGAATAGACTCACTTAAAGTACTCATGTCACGTAAGTATTTGAGAAAGAAACTAATAATCATGTATTTTTATGTGACGACTGTTAAAATCAATCGTATTAGGCACACATTGCAAATGTAATGGGACCGTGATTGAGCACTAACTAACGCACGGAATCATTGAGAAATACAAGGTCAGTATTTTCAAGATATCAATTTCTGGTAATGTATAAAATAATATTTACCAAAATAATTCAAATAGTTAATGAGGCAGCTGAAATGAAGTGTAGTTGCTGATTAAACATTATTTTACATTCTGAATTTCTAAATATTTTATTGATGCAAGATTGTTAAGTGATAAACTTTTATTGCCCAATTTAAAGAATAACGATACAACACAAAAGCACTGTTCATTATGGTATATGCACGCATTTACCGCTAAATTATTGATTTGAAAATCTTTAAATGCTGTGTTTAACAAGAATAAACAAAACAGACGAAGTGAATGTGATTACTTCTGACAACATTGCTAGATCCCCTATAACTGCGTTAGGATGACGGCAGAAACACTTAAACAGTCAGGAAACTGCACATCATTTTGTAGATGACAGGGGTTAGGTGGTGATAGATCAGTTACCTAACTTTCCTGAAGAGGTGTTTAGCACGGAGTGAAGAGTGAGAATATTGCCTGCCACAGATTGTGTGTAAGGGGTGATTTTAAATTCCGTATGTTGTGTGAAATGACTTGAACAATATATCAAATGAATGCAAGAAGCTTTCTCAATGAAAAATGGAAGCTAGGTGTGACGATAAATTCCATGGAGTAGGATGTAATTGCCGTCATAAAAGTCCTTACCCATTTCCTTGAAGGTAATGGAATTTTGGAGAGATTTAGGCTACTGCGTACTGAAGAAGATGTCATAAAATTGGAAAGCCTGAAATAAGTGTTCTTAATCAAAACATGCACAAGTTTGGAAGACTGTGTAGAGAAAAACATGATAGGCAGTCATCAGAATGTCAGCTGAGGGATTTATGGAACTGATCTTCACTGGTTGTGTAAAGATTCAATGTTTCTGGTACCAATGTCTTCATATCGTGTTCTTTCACCTGCTTCATATTTCGTTCTGAGGTTCTTTCTAATTAATTGGTTGAATTCCAGAATCAATGGGATTTTCAGAAAAATTACAAATAATATTTCCAAATTTTTTATTTTGACGGTCGTAACTTACATTTACCTCATATTGTTTTATTAGTCAAATGAACTTGTTGTAATTGTTGTAGAATCTATTTTGAAAGTTTTATTTCTTGGAAAATCCTTCCATGTATATATATATTTGTGTTATGATATGACGGACTCTTTCTGTTGACATTTTGGTAATCTATTTGATTCCATTTTGAGATTTTATCATTGTATATTATTATTATTTTTATATTTTGTACTTATATTGAAGTTTTTATGTTTGCTTCTGAACTGTACACGTGTTGTTTAAATTTGATATATAATATGGCTACAGCCATATTTGGATTTGATCTTTAGCAGTAACGGACTGGAAGCACTTATTCTTCCAGAAACGGATACCCATTGGGGTAATTGGACACTCGAAGGTGTAATATTGTTTTGGTAATTGTCTGCATTTCCATATTTCTATAATAGAACTGTTTTCTCCCAGAATTATCGTGTTTTTGTTCCTGATCTGGGTGAACGCGTATCAAGCTGCACGTGTTGGAGCCGGAGTGAACTGCCAGAGTAGAAAATTCATTTATAATTGTTGTTTAGAATTATTCGTGTCACGGTTTCCGCACTGGTTCTAGTTCCAGGAGTTTGAGACGTTTAAAAACGACAATATCGTTATCGACTGAATGTTTGTACTTCAGCTGCAATGCGCCGTTGCATATAAATCAAAGGACTACAAAGAAATCGAACATCACAGCACTAGTGAAACGGAAAGTCGATAAGGCTCATCAATGTCTAATAGTAAACCCCTTTATTTTAAGTTTTCTCCTATCTGTTACCCAAGGTAGGTTACGACGCAACTGGAAAAAGTATCACATTAAGTAGCGTATTCTAACCAGATACGGAACTCAGAGATAACTATCAGCCAATGAACGCAACCTTTGTGGTTGTTAAGATTCTTAAAATATCAATCCGTGGGAATTACTTAGGTATTTGAACGAAAACCTGATACTTTCCGATGGGTGACGCGTTTTAGTGTTGGTTTATTGATGTCTCACAAATGTATTGGTATCATTAAGGCATGCGCTGTGCAAAGTATATTTACATGCTTGGCGGGACCCTGAAACTGCAGCTACTCTTGTTTCTCCATACGTCTGTAGTGGAACGCTTCTACGAAGAAAATACGATTTGTGAAAAATAAACATTATTGTACTCGTTTTGTTTAACTGTACCAAAAACACTTCTTTGACTTCTTGCGCGCAACTTTCTCTTACCGTTGCCGTCATGTTTCTCTATTTGCTGCTCCCTATGTAATGCCAACGTTCTCCTTCAATAAAACCATGGAGTATTGATTTATTTTGTTCTGCTTTTCGTCACGCGACCGTATGGAACATTTAGTGGTGAGCATAGTCAATATGGTATCCGGACTCGCTCACTAAATGTCTGTCATCCATAAAGGAGTATGGGCCACCATTTTTATAATGTTGCAATACTTTAAATAATGTCTTTAATATATTTTATACTTGCAACAACTTTTCGAAATGGTAGATAGCTATAATAATAGACTCCAAGGTGCAGGTCATTGCATTTTCACCTGTCTCCTCACCGTCACTTCAGGTTGTTAGTTTATTTTACGTGCTCGAATTTCGCACTAACGCCAGGGACTTGGTGGCCACAAGTGCCCAAGTTTCTGTCGTATCGTTTGGTAGCAGTAAGTCATAAGCTACGATGCTTCGACCACGCGCTGCGAATGACTCTGTCACTCCTACCTATGGTACACGACAGCTAACTATCAACCTGAATTTCCGACGACAGTATCTATGGACGTTCATCCCTTCTGATGTTCCCATAGCCATACTCGGTATCGATCCCTGACAGCACTATCAATTGCTATTCGATTCACGTAGGCTGCGTTAATCGATACTTCGTCAAATATCAGATCCATGTATTTTAACGCGCAAACAGATATGTACCGAATCATTAATATGTATATTTTTTTCATTACTATTTATTTCACGTTATATTCGATAAACTCCCCAAAGTAACGAAACCGAGGAGATTTAACTGGTGATTATTTATGTGGTAAGCCACATCGTCACCTGCAGACCATCAGTCACGGCAAAACCTCGCCGACTGGCACTGGACAACTTAGTTTTCGCTAAGCGTGAGTTTGACAGTTTACTTGCTATTTGTATTACTTCGTCTTTCTCCCGGTCCTTAAAACTCCTCTGTAGATGGATTTTCTACCGTAGCAGTTCAATTCGATTCCAATAGACGTATGTCGAACGCACCTTCCCTTAGTCGAATATCAAAACACAATAATTCTAGGAGAAAGTGGTCTATTTATATAAAAGAAATGGAAATACAGACAATTACCAAAACAATATTACACCTTCGAGTGTCCAATTACCCCAATGGGTATCCGTTTCTGGAAGAATAAGTGCTTCCAGTCCGTTACTGCTAAAGATCAAATCCAAATATGGCTGTAGCCATATTATATATCAAATTTAAACAACACGTGTACAGTTCAGAAGCAAACATAAAAACTTCAATATAAGTACAAAATATAAAAATAATAATAATATACAATGATAAAATCTCAAAATGGAATCAAATAGATTACCAAAATGTCAACAGAAAGAGTCCGTCATATCATAACACAAATATATATACATGGAAGGATTTTCCAAGAAATAAAACTTTCAAAATAGATTCTACAACAATTACAACAAGTTCATTTGACTAATAAAACAATATGAGGTAAATGTAAGTTACGACCGTCAAAATAAAAAATTTGGAAATATTATTTGTAATTTTTCTGAAAATCCCATTGATTCTGGAATTCAACCAATTAATTAGAAAGAACCTCAGAACGAAATATGAAGCAGGTGAAAGAACACGATATGAAGACATTGGTACCAGAAACATTGAATCTTTACACAACCAGTGAAGATCAGTTCCATAAATCCCTCAGCTGACATTCTGATGACTGCCTATCATGTTTTTCTCTACACAGTCTTCCAAACTTGTGCATGTTTTGATTAAGAACACTTATTTCAGGCTTTCCAATTTTATGACATCTTCTTCAGTACGCAGTAGCCTAAATCTCTCCAAAATTCCATTACCTTCAAGGAAATGGGTAAGGACTTTTATGACGGCAATTACATCCTACTCCATGGAATTTATCGTCACACCTAGCTTCCGAAAATCAAAACATTCAAAAAAGTTTCTACACCGGCCCGCAATTTCCTTCCATGTAAAAAGGCAAGCGTATACTGTCATTTCAATTTAGGGTTCCCTCTCTTTCCCTAACACACACCGAAATAACGAATAGGACTTACAGCAGTACGCCTTCGCGTTTTTCAATATGGATATAACCTATCTAGTTGGAACCTTCTAGGAGACACACCCTCTGTATGTCTCTTCTCGCTACCCGGTTAGTAGTATGAACAATTACCGTTCTGACCTTTCCGTCCTTATCTGTTTCACAATCCTCTACTATTCCTAAGGGCCATTTTCCACGAGTAGTAATATCCGAAGCAACAATAACTACGTCTCCTTTCTGAAAATTGCGATGCTCTTTTAGCCATTTTTGACGAGTTTGTAAGGATAGCATATACTCTTTTCACCGTGCTGGTGTCCTTAACTATAC